TTTCAACTTCTAGTTGTAATTTTTCTTAAGATTTCAAGTAAAAATCTTAGTTTTGTTTCATTCCTATCATTAGCTTGTTATTTTATATTTCTACCAACTTCAATTAAGCGAAGATTTTCATTTTATTACATTTCTGATGGTATTCTTAGTTTCTAATTATAACTAAGTTTTAAGATTTCTATCATACTTTTTAGTTTAATGTTCTCTTGATTAATGTTCTCTCATTACCTTAGTCTTGTATCATCCTTTATTTTTGCTATGCAATCCTTCTCCCTCTTTTTTATTTCTACCTATTTTCCTTAACAAACTAAGCTAATTGTGGCCCTAGATGTGGAAAGTCTCTAATGTTCTTCTAGGTAATTATTTTTGAACCTTTATGTAAGAATGCACCCTCATTTCTACTACAATCATTTGATCAAGGTATTATTGGCACAATCATTCAATCAAATGGCATTCTTTCATCAACGTTTAAACAATTTCCCACACTTGGAAGAAGCGATAGTCACTAGAAATCCTTTTTTCTTACTTTGAGTAAAGCCAGTGGCGTGCCTAAGCAATTTTTGCCACAAGTGAAGGTGTTTATATTCGATTCAATCTTATTGATCCAATCCAAACTAACCCAATCTAATTAAAAACCAAATAACCAAACTAAACTAATATAAAATTAGGTTGGTTTGTATTATAAAAATTTAAACTAATATAATTGGTTTGTTTGTAGTTTCACATTTAAATTGCTCGAACCGCCTGATTATAAGATAAAACTCAATTATAAGATAATTTAATTAAATAATATAGTATACTTTTTTATAGTATTTTAATTTTTCTTTTTCTTGTTTCACAAGATAATAACTTCATTAATTTAATTAAAAAAATAAAAATAGAGCATCTCCATATTCCCTAATTTATTTTTTCTTCTTAATCATACACTCTAGCCTTAATTCTAAATTTTTAGTTTGTCTGCAACTCTACCCTCAAATTTGGTCTACAACTCTACTTTTAGAACCCTAAATGTCTAATTTGTTTCTAAAAAAGTATTCTATTTTTCCTAACTAAGCCTTAAAGAAGTATCATTTCAAAAATCTTAAAACTTCATAATAGAACTAGTTTTAATATTATATTATTTTTGCATGTTTGGTTGAGGAGTTTTAAATTTTGATTATGAATGTTTCTAATCAATTCTAGTGATATTCATTTTAAATTTTATTTGCTTTAAACAAAGTTTGAAAAATGGGATCAAGTCATTGGTGCATTAAGGAAAAAAAAACCTAGTTTTAATTTTTAAGAATTACTTGTATTGTACTTGAAACTTGAAGTTATCTTTTATTATTCTTGATACCTCTGGTGATATAACTAAAGAAAATTTTTAGATCTTTTCAATTTTTACAACCGTAAAGAAGTATAAGAACCTGTTTATAATTTGTGTCTTTTTAATTATATGTCTACTTATTTGAATATTAATGTGTTTTATAATTATATTTTTACTTGATATTAAAATTTTTTACATTATCTCATATATTTAATAGTATTAAAAACTAATCAATCTGATTGAATCACACCAATCTGATTTAAGTCAGATTGATTTGATTATCATATAATAGTGGATTATATTAGTTTAAAAGTTTTACTAACTGATTAAATTATATTAGTTTAAAAATATTAAAATCTAAAGCAAACTACACTGTGAACACCCATAACCACAAGTGCCGAGAGGAGAGGATCTTGAAAGAAACAGCCACGTAGTAATTCATATTGAAAATTTAATTAAAATAACTTTAATTTTGTTAATAGTCTAATTAAAAGCATCTATGTGGTGTATGTTGGTGATAAAAATGAGATTAATCTTGATGGTATAAGGACGATAAAAATAAGGTCAATATTGACATTGACAAAAATAATATATTTATAACATCATGTAATATTATAAATTTATAATTATGGTGTATTATTATATTATTGACTATTTTTATTTAAAGAATCACATAT